ACTTTATCAATACCACACAACGGGGTTAAAATCTTACATAAAATTTATGATACTACCCCAATGTTTCCTTTATGTTATACTGACTTTCTATAAAGTAAGAAGAACACTAAGGTGGTTGTGGTAGTTAAGGTTATGTGTTAGCATGGCTGGGCCTGGTTTTCGGTGGCTCAGCAGCTGGTTGTAGTTATTCCCCATGAGGATCAACTCCATGGTGGAATCTACTGGAGCTGCTGCGTAGCTGCCTTATGGATGTGGTCTAGTTCTAGTATTTAAGGAGAAGTTTTGTGAAAGGTCTCTGCAGTTTTTTGGCAAGTTTGGAACCATGCATATAGCCAAGTCTTCATTCAGCAGCCTGCCATGTTTGCTGCCAATGTTATTTGGTAATATTGGGATGGTGCCATTTTATTTGTCGACTTTGGGCATGTTAGCCTCAGCATCCAGCAGCTGCCTGAGTGAAGAGACACCTCTAGCTTCAGTGGACTGGGAGCAGGAGGCAGAGCTGAAGCCCAAGGTTGAGGGGCTTTCACCCAGCCCCTAGAGCTTGGCACTTTGAACTTCTGGCCTCCAAAACTATTAAAAAATAAAGTCCTCTTAGTTAAGGCAACCCATTTATGATATTTTCTTTTAGAGCAGCAATAGGTAACCAAAACAATGATTCTAAGAATTAAGCAAGAGACTATATGTAAAGCACTTAGCCCAATGACTGTACATGATACCAAAAAACTAAACCCATTGCTGTTGATTTGACTCTGACTCATGGGGATGTATGTGATTAATACTCAATGAAAGCATTACCACGTCTGCCATTTCTACTACTACTGTTACTACTACCATTAACTCTTCTTTTAACACAGTAAACATTTTCCTGTATGTCTAAGACTTGAATAATTTTACTTACTGTAACTCTTATAGCCAAGAATATCTTTGCTTTTATGAATTTTTAAATGTATCTATTCTTATTTTATACCAAGCCTTGTTTAAGGGTTAACCTTAATTAAAATATTGCTTCTATTTTTATGCATGATGTGCTTTCCAGGATGTGGTAAGGAGGGAATGCTACATGTTCAGCATAGAAAGATTTCCCAGGATGTC